TTATTTACCTTGATATTTGTAATAATAATTGCACTTTACCTTGATTAGTCTAAAATATATTAATATAAACATGAAATTTTTGTATATAATATATTAAATACACAGAGTGCGAATTTCTTACCAGTTTTTTTTTGAAGTAATTATGTTTTAATACAAAAGGCAACATACTGTATTTATTTTATAGCTTTTATTTTTGTCGGTATATAAGTATAAAAATATATCTGTAGATTATAACAAATAAAATTGTAATAGACAAAATATATTGTGCTATATTAACGTTAATTTAAATAACAGAAATTATTCTACTGCGATGCCATTTATGCACAAAGTGCATAGGTGGCATTTATACTTATACTATACTTCAGAATTAAAAGAAAAAGTATACATTGTACGTGTATTTGTATGTCTATTGTATGTGCTCATATATTCATGTATACATTATATATACATATTGTTTTCCAGTTTTGTTAATTAGATAGATAAAATAATTATATATAGAACTCATGTTTAAATGGATATTAAGAATTAATGAGAGTTTAAAATTTCGAAAGGTGCGTGCACAATATCATCACAAAAATATCCTTTTAGGAAAACATATTTTCTAACCAATAGAAGAATACTTTTAATATAATCGCAAGTGGTTATGATTGGTCGTCGCGACGAGTTTCATGAATTTCCCGCTTTTCAGAACAGTATAGAAGCGTAATGGAACATTCGATGAATACAAATAATGTATTGTGCATTTTTCTGTTTGTTTTTTCAAAATCTGTCTGGGTTCTTTACGATTTTTCTTGATATGCTTGAAATAATTCTAGCGCTTGAGTAAAAATGTGCCTTAGAAAAATGTTACATTAAATCGTAAAACTTTTGTGCCGAGGAATTTTCTACTCTTTGTGAATATGTACGTTGTACTCAAAGATTTTGAGTGAAGTGCAGTGAAATTCAGTACAGTACGAAGTGTCAGAAACAAGAGACTAGAATACAGTTAGCATATATTGTATTGTTTGTTCGAAAAAATAAGTGGTGTCGTGAACGTGAAGTCAGCACTAATACCATAGGAATTTAAGGTTAGATACGCGTTGCAAGTTGTACATTACATTGTTCTAGTATTCTCTGGTAAAGTGTTCAAGCAAATGATTGAAACCAGAAAAAATTTGCTACGCAGATAACCGAAGAACATTCTTCTTCATCATTCTAACTGCGAATACCCTTCAGTGTATACTTTAGATACAGCCTGGCATTACCTGCGTGATATGTTTTTGCTTTGGTTGCTGCAAAAAATATAAACATGTTAGTATAGATAAACCAGTGAATAGGTTTCAGTGTATCTCTGTAGATAGCAGTTATTTTAAATAGTACATAAATATATTTTTATGTGCTTCGTATTTTAGGGCAGATCAAGATTATGATATGGGTCCAACTACAGAAATGATGATAAATGATTTTGATGATGAACGGACTTTAGATGAAGAAGAAGCTTTAGAAGGTAGTGAAGACTCTCACAACGAGTTGTCCAACTTGCAAAAGGTATAATTCCGAAGCGACTGAGTTAAATATTTAACATATGCGATGTTCATTTTGTAACAAGATTCTGATCCCAACTATTCTAGGATCAAGCCTGTGAAATGAAAAAATCAAGCCCATAAATAATTACAATTATGATAAGTTTCTACAACACTTTGGACTCAAAGTGCGTTCTCGTAGTGAGATTCGTATGTTTAGTCGGTTTGTTATATGTAACATAGTAATCATTTGTGTTCTTGTGTCCTTTCAGGAAGGTGATATGCCACTAAAAGACCTACTTGCGATGTATGGATACGGGGATCCATCGACGGAAAATTCAAACAGTTCAGACCGAATGCTAATCCCATCGGGAAGCGGTGATCCAGAGATTGAAGGACAGTATTCCGATAAGGGAGATAACGACGCTGATGACGATGAAGATGACGATGAAGCGGATGGAACTAGTAACGAGCCAGATCTTAAGCAATTTTATACAGAGATGTTGGTGAAAGGAAAGGACTCGTCGTCATTGGTGTCAGGATCAACGATGAAAGGAAGCAATACCAATGTAGATACTGGAGACAGTAGTAGACGACATCGAATTCATGATGACGATGAAGATGATGAAGAAGGTGAGGCAGAAGAATGTTCTATGATCGACGGTTGTAGCAACAATGAAAACGCAAGAACGACTTCAACTACTACCGCTAACTGTGCTGGTATAGCTGCACTCGCCAGCTGTACGAATGATAATACGGCAGGCGGTGTAGAAGGTAGCGTTAGTAGTGGAATGGTTGATGGAGGAGAAGACGGAATAGTTAGCGGTGGCACACTGGGTAGTGGCACATCAAGATTATTGCGAAGCGTATCGCGGCCGCAAAGCGAAGAGGAAGAAGATGATTGTGATTATAGTCCAGATGAAGAGGAATGGAAGAAGACAATCATGGTTGGTATTAATTACCAAGCGGCCATACCAGAAGGTCTTTGTCATTACGACGACGCTTTACCTTATGAAAATGAGGACAAAATGTTATGGGATCCCAGTCACATACCTGAAGAAGAAACTGAAGAGTTTTTGGAACGGGCACAGTTACCAGCGGTAAAAGGTGGTTCTCTGCCAACTGGATCTCATATTAGAGACGACGAGCAAGCTTTATATCTGTTGTTGCAATGTGGCTACAATCTTGAGGAGGCATTAAGAAGACGAAGAATGAACGTCGTACCGCCAACGGATGCAGTTAGTCTTTGGTCGGAAGAAGAGTGTCATAATTTCGAATCGGGACTACGGAGTTACGGAAAAGATTTCCATCTTATACAGAAGAATAAGGTATGCATCATGTACAATGTATCGAAATACTTCGCAAGAAACAGTTGTATATAATATAAGGATCATTGTAACAGGTTAGAACGCGATCTGTTGGCGAACTGGTGCAATTTTATTATCTTTGGAAGAAAACGGAACGGCACGATATATTTACATACAAGGCACGGTTAGAAAAGAAGAAATACGCTTTGCATCCTGGTATCACGTGAGTATTTTCTCTACTTTAAAACCAGAATATTATTTATTTAAAAGATAAAATACTTGTCAATTCAAATTGTTGCAATAATCGTGCATCCTGTATTTATTTCTTTTTTTTCTCTCTCTCTTTCATCTCATTAAATAAATCTGAATTAAATTAAGTTTCAATAAAATCATATAGTTTCTGTTGTTACATTTTTATGTTACGATTGAAAACTTGAAGTATGACAAGATCGTTGAATCGTAAGCAGGGACTATATGGACCGATTTCTGGAAGAACAAGAGGGTGTTCGCGATCGTAGCAGCTCACCGAATGTTCATTGCTTATTGTATGGTGATACGAAACGGCAAAGGTCAACCGTTAATGCCCCAAACAATGACGAAACAAAGCCGACGGAACCTTGGGATGGTACTGCGATTGATCCTTTAGCTGATTTGAATGGACCAACGCCAGCACCGCCACCACCTCCTCCTCCACCTCCACCACCACCGGTATCAACCGCTGTGATTGTATCGTCCTCAGGTTCTATTTCAACTACGTTGTCTACATCTATATATTGTACCACATCAAGTCTTCATTCCGATTGTTCACCGTCCGATTCTAGCTACACTAATCCACATACATGGTCAAATTTGACGTCTCGAAGTCACTCTACCTCCTCTATCGTAACGACAATTACGCTAAATGCCACTACAACTAGCACCGTCCCGCTGGTTACAGCCGTTGGAATCACAAGCACAGTTGTTACATCTTGTTCTACCACTTCAGCCACCTCTAACAGTTTTTATCATTCAAGAGTGACATCGAGAAGCAACGATGTACATGATTCACCATCGCCGGAGAACATTTTACCTCATTTGCCCCCTTAGCGTCGAACACAGCTTTCAGGTTTCCAACCTGGAAGACGTCAAATGTCTTGGTGCGATGTGATACATTTAACACTCGCGTTATTACTATCGTCGTAACATATAACATTCGTTAATATCATGAATTATATTTTTATACTGTATCGTATAAATATGACTATCGATTTATATAGCGGAAACAAAACAAAGAAGAAGTTTCTTGCGAAATCGAAATAAAATAATAGCTAGAATAAGTAAACAGGAAAGATAATTGAAATAGGATAAGTGGCACGTGAACACGAATTACTATAGCTTTTTCCATTTTCTGCTTTCTACTTTCCGACAACTATTTCCGTAGATCAAGTTTTACGAAGGGATATTAGTTTAAAATATCAAAATGATTCGCATTTTCCGAGCTATAACTAATTAAGCGTTATCAAAATGATGAATGATCACTTGATTGTATCGTTGTTCTAAGCACGTGTCTAATTTCTGGTACTATTAAGTGTACAAAAATGCGATTTATAAATTTGACGAAACATAAGATCTTGATGATATTCTGAAATGGTTAAATTAAATGAAATTCGATGTATTTATCTCCATTTTTTGTATTTTCATTAAGGATGCACAACATGTTAAACAAGATTTAGATACTTTAGTTATCAGGTTTCACATTTTATTTATACAAAACAAACTTTAAATAGCACATTTGTGTATCCTTGCACCTAATTTCTTCATCCTTTACACTGAAGACATTTATATCTTAAATAATAAAAATTTGTTGTGGATTTCAACGTATACCACAAATAATCATAAATTTTTACTACTTCTTTTGTACGGTATTGAATATTGTCCTTCCGTTTTTCAGTTCTCTTGAATCAAATCCATAAATTTATCCTAATTCGATGCTGTTATCGATATTGTGCTAAATCTAAAGATTCCACCACTGTTTTCAATAATTTTCTCATCAGAGGTAAAAATTGTATGCTACTGATATTGGTTGTAAATTTCCCTGTAGTAAATATGTTCTCTTCAAGTTTGTTTCTTTTTGCTTCCTTTAATCTGGCCGGCAGGATAGTTTGATTGAAGTCAACAGTTTGTTGAATGGTTCTTACGCTTTTGGCATCAGGATTAATTAACGATCCTTTGACTTGCCAATCGTCGGGAGTACCACGATGTTCAAGAAAATCGAAGAAAACTCCCAACTCAGTTACTGTTTCACGTGCTATCAGCTGACGATCTCGAAGTGCGATCCTTGGACTCCTGACACCTTCTAGCGCTTGACACAAGATCAACACGAGATTTACCTCAAGGGCGAATCTTGTATTGTTCTCGTCCATAGATTCGAACCAAGGGTCGCTGAATTTTTGATATTTTGTTACAACAGGGCTGTCGTTTCCAGCGGATATTCCTTTCGCCACGTGTCTACCGCTTGTTAAGGCTGTTGCTCTTGACAGAATAGTATTCTCGCAAATAAGAGGATCGTATGGCCTTCGCACGAGTCTTGGACTACTTAACAACGGTACAGTAACATCTAAGCCACTAACATATACCAGAAATTCACTTCCTACGTTGGAAGACGACCTCGAAGTGGAACCGGATGCTGCGTGGATAATTCTTCTTAAATCTTTGCTCGAATGCATTCGTCGATCTTCTGGCGCGGCGTGTTCCCACTCCTTCTTAGCAGAATTTGTTTTGTCCGGTTGCCCGCTAAGAGAAACAGACGGGCTGCTCACGGGCTGGGATCGGGAATGTAGAGCCTGCGTGAACAATTGTGTCGAACTGATTATCGTGCCGTAAGTCAATCGTGGTCCTGAACTCATGCTCATCTGAGGTGGCCCGAAGTTCATTTCTGCCATGGGAGTGTACCAAAAGTCTTGTGTGTATATAGTGTCCACGAGAGTGTTTAGCCTCGGTGAAAAATAAACGAAACTTAACGCGCAGGTTGTGTTTATGACGATCAGTTTGTTGACCAGCAATTTTAATTCACCACTTGGTGATCTTTTGTCACAGGACTCCAATTCTTCGGCACTTTCCACGCTAATGCCATCGATAATGAACTTCAGGATTCGAGGTCGCAGCAACAAGTTCACAGTATTATCGTATGCTAGATACATGCATTTAATCAAAGTTTCGCAGATATTCGGCTGTATCGAATTCCAAATGTGGGGCTGCGTTGCTATGATATGAATGAGAGCGACGAGAGATTGTACCAAGTCCGCAGCATAAAGATCCGCCGTGTGTCTTAGCAAGGTTGACACGACCATCAATTGATATTCGTGCGAATTTAGAAATGTGATAACAGATTTTATATAGACGGTAGGTGTTTCTCTAGTGACGAGTCCTGTTAGAAATTCAAGACCGAGCGTGTACAAAGGCCACCAATCTTGGCATCGCCACTGTCCATTCTGGCAATCATTGTACAACGAGTCCAGCATACTGTTGCCAATGTCACCGGGTGGTATCAAGTTCAACCATAGTTTCGCAATGTCGTTCTCATTGACAGGGTGCAAAGTGTACGGTGAACGAATGATCAGATTGAGCAAGTTAAGAGCGGCAGTACTAAATCTTAGATACGGATACTTTTGCAATGTGATGCCGATGCACGTCATCAATTCCGGTATCATCTGTCGAAGCTGCACGCAGCTGGTCTTCCGTTGATGTTTCAATATAGAACTTCGTTCTACGTAGGAGCGTAATAATTGGGTAACCATGCATACAGCAAGGGTTGCTGGTAAACTCTCCCGAATCCCGCGGACAGTCTCCGCGTTCTGTTCATCGGCGTTCTTTTGCGCTCTCACGCTATCAATCGTCACTGTCTTCTTGTCGACTGCCTTTTGTTCGATCAAATACTGCTGTTGTTTCCGTTTCTCCAGTTGGACAGCATTATCTTTCAGTTCCTCCAATTCGCTGCCGGCGATTGTACAAGCGTGCGACAAAAGATACTCGAGACTCGTCGCGTCTTCGCGTAACGTGCTCTTCACGCATTGAACGCATCCAAGAAGCAAAGAAATCAGCGTTTGACGCAGGGACTTACCATAATTGCGATAAGCTTGACTGATTTCCTGCATTAGTTGTGTCAGTCCTGACTTGAAAATTCTGGAATCATCGACGCACATCTGTTTCCAAGAAGTGATACATCGGAGGGTCAAAGACGCCAATAGCATCGTAATTTTTCGGCTGGAAATATCACAGGATTGTTTGACTCGTTCCAGTAATGACACTAAAGAAAGTTGCGTTATAAATTGGGCTTGGGATACGTTAATAGGATAGTTCGTTGCTATCCTCTCGTCGGTTAATGTAACAATAAAATTATACCAAGATTCCAAATTAATTTCGTACAATGAATCCGTAACATTAGGATCTCGCTTCTCGTAATGTGATTCTTCGCTATCGGCGTGTACATCATTCAGAATGTATATCGTCAGTTTCTTCCAGTAATCTGTCGATTTATCCAAAAGTTTCTTCAGGTTTGTGGTAAAATCCTCTTCCGGCGTAGTACTCTTAAACAGTTCTAAAGTAATTATATCTAGCAGATGAGAATAACCTTTTGCACCTGGTACTATCTCTCTGAAAAGGGGCGCAAACAGTTGAGTCCAGAAGTTCTCTCGCTTTCGAAAAAAATTGACAAGAATCTCGTTCCTGTGATACCACATCGCTCGTAGCAACGCCATTGTGCTGTTGTATAATTTATCGCATACGATGTCCTTCTTTTCATAAATTCGATTTAGGTATTTAACCAAAAATTGTCTGCATCCTTCCGTAAAGAATTCTTCCACCGACCGGGGAAATATTCGTTTGCATTCCGCCGGATGTACAATATTGAAGAGAGCTTCCGTCAAACCGGGTTGTTTCTCTAGACACACGGCAACCAGCTCGAGGATAGCGACTTTAACATCCGCGACACAGGTTGGCGACATGAGACCTCTGCGAGAAGCAAACGTTTCTCGTATAGCGGTACCGTCCATGCCCATGCAAACCAAAAGCGACATAGAAGATCCTTCGGCGAACTTCTTCAGCAGTCTGACGGCCATCGCTTGCAGGGGTGGACTAAACCAGACGTACAGATAATTCACAATTGTAGGTACTATTAAAAGACCGTTTGGTACACGGGGCGAAGAATATAAGGCAGCTTCCAACGGTGACCTATCTCCTATTTCAAGACCCAATGATTTTCGGAATATTAGTAATCTATTTACTACGGATAAGGCTAATTGTACACTTTTGATCGCTTTGAATCCCTTTCCTCGAATCCAGTCCGTTTCTGCCATCATTTTGTTATGCAAAGTACGTTCACCGGTGCGGATCAGTTTTAGCAAGGCGTGTCGTGGTTCTAAATACAGTAAACTGTACGCGACGACAAGTTGTAATTCATTACGTATATCCTCTTTTGGTAAGCTGGATTCGAGTGCTCTGTGAAGGCAAAACATGCTTTTTAACCACAAATCGGTTCTTTCTGCGTCCGAATCGAAGTACCAGGAATCCAATTTTGGTAAAACACCTTGCAGTAGAAACACCATACCGGGTATTTCCACTGTGTACAGAGCTTCTTCGTTATATTTCCGGATTAAATACTTTGATAAAATATCTAGATACGCGTTTAAAATTGGATAAGAATGGGCAATCGTTTCTATAGCGGACAACCATGATGCGATTATACCACCGTCAAAAGAAACAGCTTCCGCAAAGTCTAATGTCTTTTGATACCGATTATTAAATCTTGGGTAAACACCGGCTCGCATTCGTGACAAAATTTCTTCGGGATACTCGAGCACGAGCTCGGACGAGATACTGATGCAAGCTGCAACTATTTTATATATATACATTTTCTCTTCGGGCAATACTGGGTAGGAAAATCTGTTTATAATCTCAAAACTTAGTTCTGTTGGGATGACCATACTTTGCCGTATCCCTATGTGCTCGGCTAATGTTTTTAACAATTTTAAACCTTCTGAAACGTGCTCGGGCAAATTCTTGTTCATTTCGTCAGTTCCTGTAAACCTGCCGCCCGCTTGAGAGAAAAGTTGTTCTATTTTGTGATGCAAGGCATCCCAATAGCTTGCCTTTTGACGAAATATCATCACTTCCCGGTCACTTGATAATATACGTATATTTTCACGGGAGGAATCTTCCAATATTGTATACGAATTCTTGTGAATCATGCATTCTTGTTCGTATGGTCTTAACGGTTTGTTATGGTCTCGTTGTCGCAGTACTTCCAATGTTAAAGATTGAAGATTATCCAGCTCCACTGCGATTTTTTCGGCACTTGATTCTGATGCGCTTGCTAATCCGATTGCAATATTCGTCAATGGTAAAAATTCGTATGGAAACTGTTCAGCTGCGAATTTATAAACTGGCCACAAGCCATCGTTACGTTCTTCCCAAAATCGAGCTGCAGTTTCAGTGAATCGAACTGTAGCAGCAACGGCACCGAAAATATCATTCAGCGCATTCAATTTGTCTTCGTCAACGAAAGCGCATACCAAAGTGAGAAGATTGTATACACTGCTCCTCACGATTTCAGCATAATGAGTTTTCTCAGAGATCATTTCGCTATTCATCAAGTCTTGCAAATAATGGAAAACATTCAATTGTATAGCTTTTATACCAAATGGTCTGAATCGATTCATTGTATCAATATTTTCGGGATCAATGGCGTAGTTTGCCAACATCCAGGATAAAAATAGGGGACTGTCCTGTGGAGAATTATCGCGGATGCATTTTTGTTCGAAAGTTTCTTGCATACTACTTCTCACGCTCTGTATCCATTCTTCCATATTGGAACTATAAATAGAAAATCACTTTTAATAACAAAATTGTAGTTGATTAAATTGTAGATATTAAAAAAACATACTGTTTTCTGACATCTAAAGTTACTAAAAATAAAGCTGTTTGACTATACTGAATTTCTTTAATTTTTCTAGCAATTGCTTTTTTATCTTCGTGACTTTTTGTACTTGCTAATCGTCTTGGTTCTCCCTATAAAAAAGAGATTACTAAATTATCGAATACTAAATATTAATGACAAATTGTACTACGATATATAAATCGTGTGCAATACTTACTCCAATGCTTTCGTAAAACTTCATAAAATTAGTGTCTGTGATATGAATATCATGAACGATGACTGTTAATATATGGAGTAATTCTCGCATTTCTACAAGACTACTATTGTACAATCTGTGTAGATACTCTTCTGTGCATAGCTGCGATCGTGTAGGCGGGTTCACCGTTTTTAATGCTTCTATCTGCTTCTGAATAGATTCCAATAGCATCCCGAACAGAACATCATTGAAAAAATTTGCGAACACCTTTTGATAACGATGTTCTTTATCTTTGTACTCCACCATAAGTTTAAGGCACTTTATTAAGGTCATTCTTTCAGAGTAATAAAATTCCCAAATGTCGTCGATCAACGCTTTCATCGACGTAAAATCTATAAGTTGCGATGCGAAAGTTTCCGCGCAATTTCGATACTCATACTTGATAAAATTACACACTAAATCCCACGTAATCGTAGCGTCTAGATTCTAGAAAGAGAGGTGATTCATTAAACATAAATCAAGTTGTTATCGTTTCTTGACGATAATGAAGAAAAGCAAAATATTTATTAATACGTACGAGAAGTGGGGCAAGTTTACTAATTAATTCATACATTCTAGGGGATGGATCATTTTTGGGAATGTTCTGAAGCGACGCTTCCGTGTACGGCTTAAAAAATAACAGTCCCTCTTTGAGAAGCTTAGTTTCCTTCTTAATTTCATCTTCCACTAATTGTTTCTCACACCGGCACACCGTATCCGATATTAAAAACCATAATTCCTTGCAATAACTTTCGTTTCACGTGATACGTATTCGTCATTCGTGACATTGAAGATATGAAAAAGATGCATTTTTATAAGGCGATAAAAGTAGCAAAAGCTTTGTTCATTGAAGGAAATATCAAATGTTACTTACGGTAAACTTTCTACAGTAGGTACTTCCATTTCGGCTTACAATTAATGTACAAAGCATACGAAGTATGTTCTGAATTTCTTGTGAAATGTTTAAAATATACAAAATTCAACTAAATATATCGTTTAAATATTACATTTCATTGCATAATTACATTACGTTACATAGTGTTTAGAAGAAATGTTATAAACAATGATCGAGACATAACCTCAATCAATATATGAAATATACCGACTGATACGAACTGGCGACTACTTTTAAAACGACGATGTACTAGGGATTCTAGAACACTTTGCAGCGCTGTCGTTGGCAGCACTGTCGTTGATTTCCCGCCAAAGACGCACAGTTATGATTATGGCTTCCTGTTAGTTGGATGTGTGTGATTCTCGTGAAATTTGTAATTTTCGTGCGAAAATGTATGTTTCCACTGCCAAGAAACGAATGTACCCGATATATTGATACGTTTTTACCTGTTTTGACACAAAATTATCGTATGACAATCGTACAACTTATGACTAATCGATGTCGGACGAATAGATACTAGTATACGTATGTCATCGCGTGAATGTCAATTTTCGTTCAAGATAAAGATAAATAAGATCGCACGAACTGTTCATTTCTTCAATTTTCGACAATAATTCTAATATAGACGCAATTACGTGCAGAGCACGCATGAAATTTACACTTTACGCGTGGAATTAAATCGTATGAAACCGTTGTACTTTTCATGCTATAGCAAAGTAAATAACTATAGCAAAATATCATTTTAAATAACGAAAATTCGTCTATTTCGTAGAGAGACGCGAAGTAAGAAGGATTGGCGTCCAATGGACGTAGGAAGTAATAAGAATT